CTGGGACTGACTGGACCGTACCGTTGACTGCCTGGGGACGCACTGCTAACCTACCGCTGTCGTACTGCGAACGTACTGCAGTTGGTCCACCACTTGCCCACTTGCCCACTTGCCCACTTGCCTCAGTCTAAAACGTGAGCAAGCTGCGAAAGGCAAGGCCACTTCCGGACCTTCCGGAAGTCTGGCGACTTGGCCTTTCGGGACTGTAGCAGCTACAACTTTGACCCTTCAAGACACCTACAGCTACCACTTATGGAACTCTGTAAGACCTCTACTCGACAGGTCTACAGATTGAATCCCTATGTCCACACAGTTCTACGACAGACAAACAAACAACTCACGAAACACAGGTCACGGATTCAAACACTCAAGGGTCAACTCAATATTGTACATGGGTCAGGTAAGGTTTGGGGATCAAACACCGGGATCTGCATCTTCCTCTGCAAGGGTGAAAACCGTTTCACTGCTGCCGGCCTAAATTCGAGGTCCTCCGAGAATGTCTAAGTCCAAGGCAGGACCTTTACCTCTCCTATCTCTTTCGTAGGCCCTGACTATGTCGGGAGCTGTTTCTAGAAGTTCAGTTTTGGTAAACCAGAGGTCGTCTTCCGGTTCCTGATATGTGAATCGAACCTTGTACTGTTTCTGAGGACGACCTCTCCCTCCTGTCCTGAATACATCTTCACCTACAATGCCGTCAATGTCGTATCTTCCATCCATATCCGGAGGGATCATGGAGGGAAACTGTTGACTTGTGGCACACGACAATAACTTTGAGGCGTGCAATACGGGGTAGGTGTGGAGCTGCGCTGGAATCTCTACTGTATAGGACGGTCCATCCTCTCCGCCCTTAACTTCTAGAACTGGCCACGGTCCTCTATACGCGGGCAATAGCTTTTGCGAGATATTCTCCTCAGGAGCAAACTCCTTAGACTTGACCCAGACTAAGTCGCCTACTTGAAACTGTGACGGGCGACGATGCTTATTGGCTTGCTCTATCATCCTATGCTGGGTCTTCCTGAGGTTCTCTACAACGGTAGCTAACTCCTTCTCGTRCCGTAACGCAAACTCCCTAGTACCGGGCGGTAGCCTATGAATCTGATCCCGGTCAAGTCCCTCAAACGGTCTGCGTGGTTTAAAGGACTTGTGTAATTCGTTGGGAGTGCGACACGTGGAYAGGTGCACGCTGTTATTGTAGGCACTGGCTACCTTTGGGAGCATMTCATCCYTGTTAGTCTGATCAGGTCTAATGTACATTCTCAGAACTTGCTGTAGGAGCTTATTCATTTGCTCASTCTGACCGTTAGTCTYTGGATGACGGCYAGATGACATCAACAACTTGGAGCCATATACTCTCATCAATTCCTGCCAGTTCTGACTAGTGAACCGGGTGTCTCTATCGCTAACTATAGACAGCGGAATCYYGTGTTCRCWGACCCAATGATCAAAGAACTTTTGAACTACTAACTTTGTACGTTCCTCCGCAGGCAACGGAACAAAAMCTGCATACTTGCTAAATCTATCTRCTATGACCATGACTTGGCTCTTACTATGCCTACTCTTGACGGCGGTGTCCATGAAATCGATGGACACTGAATCTCCGGGCTGGTCAGGAATAGGCAGGGGTCTGAGAAGACCTAGAGGGGCACGCATAGTAGTCTTATTCCTTTGGCAAACCTTACAACTGCGGACGTACTCTAGGCAGTCGGCTTTCATCCCTGGCCAAGTATACGCGCACATCAGATTGGCTAGAGTCTTCTGCCAACCGAAGTGTCCCTCTGTATCGTGACATTCCCCTCAGATCAGGCTACAAATCTCTTCACTGTTGGGGACGCAAAAGCGGTCTACTACATCACTCTTCTCAAATAACAAACCCTCTGTAGTGTGGTGATGTGGTTCAGTCTCTGGGGCCTCCTTTACTCTCTTAAGAAGGTCGCTGTAGATAGGATCCTGAGCATATGCCTCTCTGACTTTCTGTTGCAGGTCCTTACCTATATCCAGATAATGGACTATCGCCCCAAAGTAGTATGACCTCCTACTTAGAGCATCCGCAACTACATTGTACTTGCCCTTAACACGCTTGAGCTCAAAGTCGTATTGGTCTATCTCGGCGGCCCACCTAGTCAACTTAGGTATCATCTTGGCCTGCGTCTTCAGCCACCTTAACGTCTCGTGGTCTGAATAGACTTTGAAGTGCCTYCCAAGCAAGTAGTGTTTCCAGTGTTCTAGTGCTTGCCTGAGAGCATAGAGTTCCCTCTCGTAGGTGGATGTCGCTACCTTCTTTGAAGGCATTCTAGCAGACATGAACTCTACGGGTCTATATTCGTTGCCATCGTCTTGTTGTAGTACAACACCTATGCCATATTGGCTCGCGTCAGTGGTAACAACGAAAGGTAAGGACGGATCGGCGACCTTAAGGATTGGATACTCTATCAACGCCTGCTTCAACTTCTTCATGGCAGACGTGCAGTCCTTATCCCACTTCCAGATTGTTCCTTTCTTCAGCAATTTGCAAAGGGGTGCAGCCATAGTAGAGAAGTTTCTCACAAACTTCCTGTAGTAGTTCGCTAGGCCAAAGAACGATCGCAACTCTGTCAGCGTGCGAGGCGTAGGCCAATCCCTAATCGCTGCGATTTTGTTATCCTCTGGCTTAATGCCGTCTCCGTCTAAGACGTGGCCTAAGTACAAAACTTGGGCCTTTGCCCATTCGCACTTCTTCGGGTTGATCTTGAATTTAGCTTCTCTCAGCTTCTCCAAGACCTACCTCAGATGACCCTGATGCGTTTGGAGAATCTTGCTGAATACTAGAATATCATCTAAGTACACTACTACAAATCTATCTAACCACGGCCTAAACAGGTCATTCATACAACGCTGAAAGGTCGCTGGTGCGTTGGTTAGTCCAAAAGGCATGACTATAAACTCATAGTGCCCATACCTAGTCCGGAATGCGGTCTTATACTGATCATCAGGATGRACCTCTATCTGATGATATTTGGACTTCAAATCTATCTTTGAAAAATACTTGCATCCCTGCACCCTGTCTAAAAGATCATCTATACGGGGCAGCGGCTCTGCATTCTTCATTGTGATGGCGTTGAGACCCYTATAGTCAATACACATTCTAAGCTCTCCCTCCTTCTTGGGGACAAACAAAACWGGTGCTYCGAATGGGGGCGAACTGGGCCTAATCCAACCCTTCTCTAGGAGCTCGTCTAGTTGCTTACGCAGCTCCTCCAACTCCTGCGGGGACATCCTGTAYACTGCTCCTTTGGGAGTTCGACTGCCAGACTCTATCTCTATACGATGCTGGATTGGCCGTGGCACTACTCCCGTCGGTGAGTTTTGCCAAGTCCTTAAACTCTTCTAGCAACTTGGCAATAGCTGGGTCAATGGGCTTCTCTTCCTTAGGCTCAGTAACAGGCCTGACGTAAACTACGAAGACCTGTTCCTCTAATTTCTCCTTTTTCACCAATCGGGCAAACGCGGGAGCAYTGAGACAACAATGTGCCAGGGTATTGTCTACACGTGACRCATGGAACAGACGGGCAGTCTTAACCTCGCCTGTCGGACTAGGGAGCCTACACTCATGCTCTCTCAGGTGGAGTGTGGCCCCTTCTGCCTCTCCCCAGTACATACCTAGGACTATACTGAAAGGAAGGTCATCCTGTACGAGGAGAGGCAGGGAATGGAGAACTTTCTCCTCTTTCCCGTCTTTCTCTAGGCGGAAATACGCCTGGACTCCCTCTATGTAGTCCTCAACTCGCATAGTGCAGTTGTCCGCGAGGACACTAACTATGGGGTCTTCCGACTYTTGGAYTTTCAACCCTAGCCTTAGCTTCTTCAACGCTTTACGACTAATATAACTGCGGGTAGCCCCTGAATCTATAAGGGCTCCTACTCTACTTCTAAAAACTTCTACATCTACTAAAACTAGCTGTCCTTTACTCTCCTTTTTCATCTTGGCCCAGGCGGACATTCTCTCTTTCAACTCATTGGCCACACCTGTGAGGGAGGTGCCTAGAGAGACTAACGCAAGCAGGCTCTGGACAACTATCTGGCACCGGCCTGCAACCTCTGCCATAGGCTCATGTGGTGTGGGAGTTTCTTGCCGGCTCGCGCTGGCTTCCCCACATGGCCTTATGGTAGGGGCAGTTGCAACCCCTACCGATGGCTGCCTTTTGCCTGTTGGGCAGCCCATCGGGCCTGCCTATACTTCGGACAATATCGAATGATGTGGCCAGGGTCACCACAAAATACACACTGCCCCTGATCCACACGCTGCTGCCAGTCGCGCTGGTCTAGGCCCAAATCCTCCCAAGGTCGTCCCTGTGGCAGACCTGGGTGCCAACCACCTCTTCTATAGGGTGACCTATTACCCTTATTAGGTGAACAGTTACCAGAGCGGTTTTGCGGGGGACCTTGACCCCTTGCTCCCGCTTGGCGGTTTCCTCCTCTACCGCCAACCCACTGATTGCCCTGGGAACGGCCACCTGAGGCCCGGCCCCCTCGGCCTTGGCCTCCTCTTCGTTGAGGCCTCCCTCCGGCCGGGACAGCAGCGTAAGTCCTCCCCTGACTGGCGCCACTGTCCTCTTGCTCCTCATCTAGGCCCCATTCTATCTGCTCGTAGGGGACCTCGTCGACACTACCCTCATCTAACGTAAGGATCAAACGATCCTTGGTCTTAACCTGTCCAGAGATAGTGTGACCCTTCCACTTTTTCCCCTTGTCCAGGTCCTTGTGCCAGAAAGTGGACACTGACATGGACCTTGCTTCAAAAGCCACCACTTCCCTGCTCAGGGCGTCGTAGGTCATGGTGGGTTGCTGGCTCTTCTCGAAGAAGTGCCCGCGCAAGGATTCGGGCATAGCCGGATAGAAGAGGTTGACCAACTGGGTCTCAGTGACCCCGTGGTTAGGGACTGCAACCAACTCGTCCATAACTCCTTTGAGTGCCTTGGCACTCCTCCACTGACGAGAGTGGATAGTTTGCAGCCTATCGGAGGCCTTGACACTGCGCGAAACGTCTGCAAATCGTTCGCGCAACAACTTAAGGAAGTCAATGAGGGGGGTGAAGGCGGATTACGCAACTACATCATCATTACAATTCGCGGTGCGGACCAGGGAATGGGCAAAACTGGCAGCCTCCTCCTTCAGAGCGTGGATGGCTATTAAGATATGCTCATCTGGGGAGACTTTCTGTAAATGCGCGTAGGTTTTGACATTTGCTTCCCAATTGTCAAAGTTTTCTTCCCTCTTCCCGCTGTAGGAATCGGGAAATTTAACTTTGACCGGCTCTCTACGGGGACGTACTTCCTCCTCTTTGGGAGCGGTCAATCGGGCGCCTTCTACGGCGCCGGTGCAGTATCGCTCTGTGCCCTCTAGGCGGGCCCTCACCTCGGAGCCCACCTGTGTGGCCAGTTCCCGTGCAAAGTCCCTGAGTCCCAATCGGATTGAACGCACGACAATGTCTTGACTTCTGCCAAATAGGAATTGTTCTTCCTGGATCTTTGCCAAGCGTTCTATATTCTTTGCCATAATTTCCACCTTCCCCAATAAATCCACTTGCACTGCCATCTGATCCCTCTGCTTCTTTATTTCTTCTAGTTCCTTCGCCGCTTGACTCGCCCCCTCCATCCTTCTTTTCCTTTCCCTTGTCAGACGAAACTTCCACTCCATCCTATTTTCATCTTCCAACACCTGCCGCTTAAGCGGATCTTCTTCAGCCTTCCATTCTTTCACGGCCGCCTCCTGTTCCTCCTTGGACACATACATCAAGGCCTCCTCATCTTCTCCCAAGGATGATCTGACAACCCACTCTGTAATCTTTTTCTCCATTAAATCTTCTTTTGTGCCACTGGACTCCCCTCTTCTTCCTGCCCTTCGCCTTTCCAGCGGCTGTTCTTCTTCCTCTTCCTCCTCTTCTACCGCCTTGAGCTTCGCTTCCTCTTCTCTCTTTAGCCTCTCTTTCTCCCTAGCCGTCTCTTCCTCAATCTTTCTCAACTTCGCCGCCTGCTCCTCTATCAAGGTCTTCTTCTTGGCCTCCTTCTCTCTTCTCTCTTTGAGGATGGCGGCGGCCCTTGCCTCCTCTTCGGCTGTGTAAGGGGAAGTGCTCTTTCCGGTATGCGTGTCAACCATGGTGATAGATGCACAACCAAGTAACGGTTCCACTCCTCACCACTTAGACGCCCCCCCCTGCTTAACTTAAGACCGACTGACTCTCTATGGACTACAGAATCTTACCTTTCGTTCCAACCAGATTGCCACGGCCTACGGAAGCTTTCGCAACCACAGTCCTTGCAATCCAGACCCAGATCCCCAGCACCTGCGGTCAAACCCACCTGGCTTGCACTCCGGTTCAGACCCTGTCAACTAGGGGCACTAGCCTAGACTCTAAACTACAGTTGTCACTACAGAACCTGTTGCTGATCAGGAGGCATTTAAGGAGATCCCCCGTAACTCCTCAAGAATTCTTTAACGTCGCAGACAGGACGACGCGATCAGCAGGTTCTCTCAAAACGTAGACGGCCCGTTGTGCAGCCCACAGCTCAGATTTCGGGCCTGCCGTGCCACACCGAGCAGCCCATCGGTCAGTACCGGTCCTTGGGAGGGTTTGTGTCCTCCAGGACGGTCGAGTCGTCAGACACAGCCTTTAGCCCTACTCAGCCCGGCAGGGGTTTGGTCAATGAGGCCCTATCCTTCATACATGGAGTCCTATCACCTGGACAGAAGAGACTCAATGCAGAAAGAAGAGACAGACAAACTCAGACGCAGCAAGTACCACAGGGTGAGTGCACATCCATAGGGCGAGGGGATAGGCTAAGGGCTTGGCGAGATCAGACAAACTCAGACGCAGCAAGTACCACAGGGTGAGTGCACATCCATAGGGCGAGGGGATAGGCTAAGGGCTTGGCGAGATCA